CCCACACTGGTGTGGGGGCACAGCCACACACTCACTCCCCAGCCTGAGCAGGGAGAAGTGAGAAAACCCATTAATAAGTGAAGATGGAGGGGAAATACCCCTCCAAAACTCCCAAAGCAGAGCCCAGCCTCAGCCAGGATCCCAGGATATCCACACTGCCAGCACTCTCCTTGCTGCTGCCAGTCGAGGTCCCAAGCACAGAAGCCCAATCATGACACAACCACCACATCAGTTCTACTATTATTTATTTTTTTAAATATTTTTGAAAAAATATAATTTTTTTACAATATTTTCAACTTAAACACTATTCACACTGAACACGTATGGCAGCTTAACCTACCCGAATATGAAGTTTAAGAAGCCAAAACTGGTCTAGCTTTATTAAAAGAAAAAAAAAACCAACAAAAAAAAAAAAAAAAAAAACCAACCCCAAAACAAAAAAAAAACCCAAAAAAGAACAAAAAGTCGTTGTGCTGTAGACTATTGTGTAGTGATGATTAAACAAAGCAAGGGAAAAGCACCACTCAAATCACTAATGCTGGGGGTTTGCCTGATTAAATCCAGCTAGGGAAAGTCAGGAGTTACATAGGCAGTGCTATGTATGGTTCTTGAAGGAACTGTGATGAAACTCACATCTCCTCGTGGAAGGTTTCTACCATGGTAACATACTGCAAAGTACAGGGAGTCTCCTCCTCCCAGTCGTGGGGGTGTTAGTTTGGTAGCTGAGATCTAGGACTCTGCACAGGTCTGTAAGAGTTGGGTTAAAGCTCACACTGCCTCACGTCGCTGTTTCATCAGGGGAAAATTCAACGTTAGTAACAACACTGAGACCTCAACGGAAAGTTAGCTCATTTGCATAACAATCAGATCTCCTCGCTTTCATTTGGAAGTTAAGGCATTATCAGGTGCAAGCTAGCACCAGTTAACACATCTTTAGTTAACGACAGACCATCCACCGCCAATTCCAAGTGCTGTTTGAAAAGTCAGAGTCTGCAGAAGGTTTGATGAACGTGGTACTTTGTCTCAACTTGACTGGTGCTTCTTACCTCACTGCCTCCTTCGCTCAGAGCCAGGGCCCAATTATGGTTCCATTAAACTTTTGACAGGTTTACTTAATAACAGTCTCAGCACTTTTATTGAGCATGCAAGACTAACAAAACTTTGGCAATGCATAAGTGTAACACAGTGACAAGAAGAGAGAGCTTTTACAATTAAATCTTCTAATACTGGCTTCACAGTGTGGAAATTGTGCTACATCCACCAAAAGAGGGCCCAGTCTACTCAAATATTTAAGTATTTCACCCCAGGAACAAACTCCTTTGCGTTTGGATTCAGATTACTCTTGACCTGAGGAAGGGAAAAACAGACATCGAGTTAAATTGGCATTTTCATCTTCCATTTTCAAGCCGAAGACAATTGGAGACAGAGAGCATTAGGCAAAATGTATGGATTTAGAGAGCAGTCAGGCACACTTATCAGCAGCCTAATCCCTGGAAAAGTTCACTCCCCCGTGCTGCTCCCTGCATTATCCATCCCTTCTCAGCTCCACCTGAGCCTCAGCCAGAGGGCTCAGGGAAGGAGCAGCAAACCACAGGCATGCAGCAAACACAGCAGCTTCCCTTCATGCTCCAGTGGCCTTTCCTCAAGCTGAGCTGTTAAAACGTGCCATAAGGTTTTTAAATCTTGCTTATTTAAGCAAGAGGAGACTTGTTCCAGGAACTTCAGCCACTTCTGGGAATTTCTTGTGTATGAGCACTGTATTGATTTTACACTAACTGTGACTACCCTGTCCTCCCCCTTGGCAAGCTGCTGCTGCTCAGCGTCCTGCAGAGGGGCACCAGCACCTTCAAAAGGAGCTCTTTAGCACAAAGAAATGGAGGATTAGGCTCTGCTGTTCCTAATTGAGTCTGAAACTGCTGCCTGCAGCTGCTAGAGCTTGGAAAAGTCAGGGTGTTCATCTGAATCTCACAGCAGGATGGTGTGGGGATTGTACTCTGCATCAGGGATGTTGTGTTCTGTGAAGAAACATAAGTACCCACTGCCCTTTCCTTTGAGTTAAGCCCTGGAGAGAAGTCAGACAGCAAAATGAGGGAAATAATCACACTTTGGCTGCTTTCCTCTTCCTTAGAATTTCTACAGACCTGCTGTGGTTCTCCCAGTTCAATCCAGACCTTCAGACAGGGCTGTAGCAGCCCAGCAGGTCAGTGCTGACAGATCCCAGTTAACCTCCTGGACAGCACAGGAAAGGTCAGCACTGCTCACTGCTCCTTTCGCAGCACTCCCTGCACACCCACAGCCTCCTGAATTCAGGCCATGGGCCAGGAAAGGCTCCATGAAGGAACCCACCACATCAGGTGAGGACACATCCCCTACCCACCCACTGCCCCTCACCACGGCCAGGCTGGCTCCAACAGGCCCTGCCCCAACTAGGAAGGGCAGCTAGCGCTTGCCATGAACAGCAATAAAACCAGCCCTGCACTGTGCTGTTTCCTTTGTATCCATTTCACTACCTTGGGAATATGAATTAGGAAGGACACTCTCAAGATTAAAAAAAAACCAAAACACCCTAAACCCAAACAGGGGAGGATAAGCTTAAAAAACTTCCTAACAGTAAGTATCAGACTATGGTGAAAGAATTTGCTAAGCATGTATTTTACTGTATGTGACTGTGCCTCGGCCGTGTAAACTGAGACTGACTACAAACCCACTGCCAAAACCTGGACAAACCACTGGCCAGGTTTGCAAGCAGCTATGTTACTACTTTAGTGAACTCCTCCAGCTCTAGAAATAGGATGAGAACGTGAATTTACCACCAGATCCTCCAGTGATGAGCTGTCACTGATAACAAGGTCATTGAACTGGTCCTGGATTTGATCCATTGTTTGTGGGAGGTCACGGGCTGGAATGAACCACTCGTGCTCCTCCTCCTCCTCCAGCATCTCCTGGAAACAGCGTTCGATAAACTCCTCTTCCCACAGCTCCTCCTCGATCTGGGCAATGACAACAAACTGCTTCAGCCACAGACGTTCCCACAGCTTCTTCCCAGCTGTGTGCACCTAGCCGACCCTTTTCCTGGCTGTCCAACGGGACAGCAGGCAGCAGGAAGGCAATCAGCTGGCATTTCACAGCCTAGGAAAGTGCTTTGTCCCAGGAATTTGTGTTGCAATTAAAAAGGAAAGGCAGGAAAATCACCCCCAGCCCTCGCTCTTTTATTTGCACCTTGTTAAGAGCTCAAGGAGAAGGAAAATGTTTGTTCCAAGTGAAAACTGCAGTTGTACCAACTAGTCTGAGCTGAACTGGCTGCAAGCACGAGTAAGGGCACTGTGCCAACAGACACAGCTAGGCACACTCCCTAGGGAAGTGTCCTAGGGGACTCCTGGGGAAAAAATAACCACTGCCTGTCCCTTGGAACAAGCAGCATCTCCCTGGCTCTGCTCAGTCCCGGTGGGAACCCCACCTGATCCCAGCAGCTGTGAGGAATCAGCCCTGCTGTGCTGTGGGCAGCACAAACTGACCCATGCACGACTGACATGCAAAGCTTCGCTCGGTGGTTCAGTAAACAAGCTCTGGAGGGAGTCATCCAGTAAGTTTTCCAGGTCCTGCACCACAGTGCTTAGGAGTGGAAAGCAGCGAAATAGAAGCTGGTGTGAATGACTTGCCAGACGTAAGGGAGTGGAAAATGACTGAGGACAGATTTAGAAGTTCACTCAGTGGAAGCTCCAACAAGTTTTCCTATCTGTGCTTGGCTCTGAAATCAAACCCCTCCTCCATCCTGGAGTGGGAATTTGGTTACATACCACAAATATCAAACCAAAATCGTTCCCACCAGAGTCCAGGATTCCTGTGAAATCTGTGTCCTTGGGCAAACCCAGCCGGGTGCTCTGGGAACCGGTACACACCACCACATGTTCTGAGGCACCACCTAGGCCGTCAAACCCCCTCGAAACGCTGACCCAGAGACTTTCCCAGAGCAGCATTCCAGCCTGGATGGCACCTCCCATCCATCCTGGCGGGAGGCACTGCCTGCAGCCTGCCGTGGGCACACAGCCACAGAGGGCAGTGCTACACGGGGCTTGCCCGGCTCTAGGGGGGTGGCTACATGTCTGCACCCCTACAGCTGCCTCAATGGCAGCTCCACAAGAATTAAATAACCTTTAATTCCCCAAATGTCCTGATATTGATACTGTCTGTATTTTCCAGCCCAAGTTTAACTTGCTCAAGTTCCCAGAGGGATGTGAGCAGGCTGCCACAGAGGTTTGCTTGCCTGAGCATGACCCTTCTCCCCTCACACTTCCACCTGCCCTCTGCTCTGGAAATGGAGTCCGTGCCTGAAAAATTACAGCACAACTCTCAGCTCCTTCCCACAGAGCTCCACAGTACACTTCCCAGGGGGAAAAAGCCTCCAAACATGGAACAATGCACGAGAGAGCTGAGATTCTGTGAGCACACCTGACTGTGAGCTGAGCTCAGTGCCTTGCTGGCATCCTGCAGAGAGCAGTTGCTGTGTCCCATGTGAGCAGCTCAGCCCTCAGCACAGCCACAGCTGCTGGAGCACAGGCAGCAGCTATGAGTGCACAGAGCCAGCTGGGAATCGGGAAGGGGCAGGAGGAGGAGGTGGCTGTTCCTAGCCCCCCTGGGAGAGAACACTGTGGCCAGATGCAAGGTGGCAGATGAAGGTAAGGCTTCATTCCAAGGCCAGCTGTGAGGCACTCAAGTATGAAGCAATGAGCAGGACTGTCATCCAACAGCTGTTCCTGCAACTCCCTGTGGAATGGCAGCGCTGTTCCCAAGGCAGGGATGCACCTGGATGCACCCAGCTCAGAACTACACCACCAGCATGCCTGCACACGTACACCTCCACAGCTCAGCTAACAAGGCCCATCCCTTCCCAAGTGCCACTTACATCTGTCACCTCTTTCTTCCCCTCCCTTCTGCAGAAGGAGGGGATTGATGGATGCATTAGAACATGCTGCACTCCCTCTATTTTCCACCAAGGCTACAGAAAGGCATTGTTTATGGGCAGAGAAAGGGAGACCTGTCTGTTCCCCAGGATCCACAACCCCTGGAGAGGGGGTTAGAGAGAGGTGGGGGATGTCTCTCCTGCCATGGCTGCAGGGAGAGGACTAGATGGAATGGCCTTGAGCTGAGACAGGGCAAAGATTTTAGGGAAAGTTTTTTTCAATGTGTTTAGGCACTGGAATAGGGAATTGCCCAGGGAGGTGGTGGAGTCACCATCCCTGGAAGTGTATAAGAGGTGTCTGGATCTGGTGCTGGAGGATCTGGTTTAGGGTTTAGGGGTTACAGCAGTGACAGGTTAATGGTTGGACTCGATGATCTTAGGGGTCTCTTCCAGTCTTGCTGATTCTATGATCACTAGCAAAACCTCATGTCCAAAGAGCTCTGACTCACGCCCTGGTTGCCAAGCCCCCACAGCCCTCCCTCCACCTGAGCAATAACAAAGCACATGACAAAGTGAGAGGGAAGAGACTTGCCTGCCTGTTAAACTCCTCTTCATTCTCCATCCACATGTACTCTGCGAAGGGATTGTCATCCTCGTGGGAGTGCCCATTGATGATGACATCCTCGCTGATGATGCTGGGGCTGGTGCTGCTGCGACTCGGGTCCTTCATGGCTGCGTCTCCGGTCCCAACCCTGCACTGAGGGATGCAGCGGTGAGAGGTGCACACTGCCTCAGCCCCTGCCTCTGCACAAGCACAGCCCAAGGAGGGAAGGCTACACCTGCACGTGGAGGCTCCAGACAGCCTTACCCCACCTGCAGCAGAGTAGCACAAACATCATTCCCATGTGTGCGCATTCCAGGGACAATCTCCCAAGCTCAACCTCGTCAAGGCCAACGAAAAGTGACAGAAAAAACAGGAAGCACATGGACTTGCCAGCAGGAAAGTATTTAAGCCAACATTCAAAGGGAGAATTAGTTTTCCAACCACTTCTCACTGCTGTGTGTGAAGGCACGAGACAGGTCTCAGGGCCCTTTTGCTGCTGGGGGAGGCAGGAACTATCCCACACTGTTCCTGCCAGGCTGGGCCAGCAGTTCTCACAGCTACTTCCTTAGCCACAGGCCACTGAGTGGGAGCTCCAGGCACAGACAACATCAGAGGCTCTGAAGCCAATGCCTGCCTCTCCTCTCACTTCATTAGCAGGGACTGAGTCACCCCTGGAGAGCACTCAGCACTCTGTGTGTCCTGAGACGTGACAGGGAGCTCAGGGACTGAGGGGACACTTGGCAAGTGAGGTCTGTTCCACGTAGTCAGCATCAAAAGCAGGACAGAACCTAAATTAGGCCTGAATCCCTGTCACAGGAAGGGACTGAGCCATGCTCAGAGCCCCAGGGCTGCTCACAGCAGGAGAACTTTGTGTGTGCTGAGGTAAGGGAAACCACTCACCTGTACAAGCTCCAGCACAGACACCAACACTGGAAAAGCTCAGGATTTTTTTGGATACTGATCCTGCTAGCGGTAATTTTTAAAAACAGGATAGAAACTGAGGCAATTAGCTCAAACCCAATCAAATAGGAATGTTCTTCTTGTGCTAAAATAATGCTGCAGCAGTGAAACTGTTCTTGTTTTATTCTCAAAACCAGACTTTAGCTCCTTGTGCACATCAGAGTGACTTACTCGGGGAGAAAGGCTCAAAATAGAGCCTCGTTGTTGCTGAGTACAAGGACTCATCACATCTCCCTGGATTCTAGCTGCTCCTGCTATCTAGGGAATTTATACAAGTTTTGGTGCAAAATGTTTTCTGGATAACACCAGAAACCTGCCACAACCTAATGGCAAATTAAGACAAGCCCCAAGAACTCTCCTGCCTTGCTCCATTCCAGGTTTTTAACTCAAAGGCCACCCCCAGCAGGGAAGCTGCTGCAGATCCCCAGGAGCTGCCACAAGCAGGAGCGATCCTGGTATTCCAGCACGGGAAAACAGGTTCTTTGTGACGCTCTTTCCAAACAAACCTGCAAAGGATTACTGGCAGTGTCTGACACAAAACAGGGAAGGACGTGGCATTCAACACCCCAATTCAAGCCTGAAATTGCTCTAAGCCACTTGGGCTGTTCCCAAGCCAACACATGGGGTGGACTACAGGAAATGGAGCCTAAAAACCTGATTGATGGGTTGATCTTTTTAGTGTCAGGTGTTTTCACCTTTTCTTTGCTGGAGTCAATCCTGGTACTACCATTCCCCCGGAGTAACTGCCCCAGCAGTGTGAGGCACTGGAGAGCAAGTCCATAAAGGGAAAACAATTAAAAAACCACCTAAAAACCAACCTTACTTGTTTGTGCCAGAGCTTGGCAGGTTCATTTGGTGAATCATGGGCTACTTTTCCCATTTGTGAAGCGTTCCCACACAACATAAGCTATGGCTGTGGAAGGGAGGGAAAAGAACTCCACTGTTGCTCATCTGGGCCAATTTAGCTTTGTCCACCACTTCCAAGGACAGGATGAGCTCCAGGACAGACTCCAGGCTCAACCTGAGTGTGTGAAGTTTATCTGACACAGCCCTAAGCCCACTCATGTTTTTCCCACACGCCAACAAACACTTATCCAGCAGAACAGCGAGGAAGCCCCCGGCCAGTCCCTCTTGTAATTTCACTTTCTGCAGCCTTCAATAAGACAACTCTCCATTTCAGACACAAACCAACTGATTCCTGGCTCAAGATCAGCCTTATTCCACCAGGACTGGGTACAACCTCTTCAGTCATGAGCTGCAGAGAATTCTGAGGGAGAGAGCCAAGTGCCACTTCCCATCCTGCACAACCCCGACCTGAGCTGCTGCAGAGAACAACCCCAGTGACAGGCACAAATCATATCTCCTCCACCTGGCAGGAGGTGGGAAGCAGAGGAGCTCACAGCTCCTCACACTACCAGAGGAACATAACATCAACAGTGCTGAGGAACAGCAAACACGGAGGATTCTGTCCCTGGAAGATTCAGCCACAGGTTACTCCAGGAGTTTTGGGGGTGGTGCAGGAAGAGCACTGGAGATGCATAAGGAACGATGCTAAAAAACAGGATTTTTATCTTGGGGATGAAGGCATAAATTTAAAATCCTGCAATAACAGGACTTCCAGTTAGCTCAGAGTGTTTTCCACATGGAGTGTGGGCTCTTTGCTCCAGAACACCACCAAAGTCCCCAAATTTACCCATTTCTGCACATTTTTGCTGCAGTTGCAGCCACAAAGAGCCCTGGACCGAGCACCATTAAAACTGAAAGCCTTGTGGCTGAAGATTCTGCATTTCAAACACAGCCTTCAAAGGAGATTATCCACTGCCTCCTCCAGCGCTGAGCTCAGGCCTAATTCCACACGGCCACATCAGAGCCTTGCCCAGGAGAGACAAAAACGGGGGGAGAAGAAATAGAACACGTGTCTCACGCGCCCGAAAGCGAGACCCGAGGGCTGAGGGGGGAAAGAAGGTGTTCTGGAGCAGAAACGCGTGCAGGACACGGTGTGACTCGTTTATCACCCCCGGATTGCTGCGAGTCGGCAGCGCCGGCCAAGCGGCGCGTTATCTGCTAGATTAGCAGGCGGCAGTTACCGAGCGGCTGATTACCCGAGTAACA